CAACCATCTGTAGTTTACTCCTCTTTTAAGTAACTCTTTAGTCAAGAATAAATATTCTCTTCTCATCTCTTACTCTTCTTGGTATCTATTTCAGCACCACAATTTCTTTGTCTTTATATTTTAGTATTTTCTCTCTTGCCACCTGCAGTATCTGTGTCTTAATAATTTTCTTAGTAAATCTGATGTGGACTTCTCTTGGTAGTCTGCTTCTCATTGCATATCTTGTATAGACATGGAATACTTCATCCATCATCTTCTCTTTGGTTATCTCTAGCATTTCTGCCAGTATTTCTGTCATTATTTCAGCAAGATTTTCACCTTTTCCTTCTACATTTTGAAATCTTAGGTAGAATTCTGATCTATCAATTTCCCATCCTAATGGTTCACACCTGCCCTTCTCAACATCGCTCAATCGAGTATCAATATCTCCAATTTTCTTGTCTCTTTGTGTGTCTTCTTCAATTTTTTAAAATCTGTCTTCATATTTCGTCATCATCTGTTGAATATTTTCTACTTTCTCATCTGTCTTTTCAGTTCTTTGCTCAATGTTCTCCATTCTCTTTTCAATCTTCTGAATTCATTGCATAATCATCTGTAATGTCACTTCCTTCTCTTTCTCCTGTTGTAAAACTGTATGTATTGACCGTTGTCCTCCAGATGGTGAAAAGGCTATTGATATTGAGGAAGCTGGGGCTGTTGTCTTTCTGCTCATCTTGTAGCACTTATCTGTAAAGAAAGAAAGAGGAAAAAAGAGAAAAGGGAAAGGGAAAAAAAGGAGCACAGGCAGGCAATTGCCACTCCAAAAAATAAAAAGAGGGAAAAAAAATCTTCAGGCACTTGTATACCTTAATCCAATTATTTCTCTTAATAAGAAGGAAAAAAGGAAGAGAGCAAAAAAATAAAGAATTTACATTCTAGTTCCTGGAATAAAAGGTTGAAATCCAAATATAAAAATCCAACTGAAGGAGAAGTAAAAGAGGGAGTGAAAAGTAACAGACAGTTCTAATGTGAAGCCAGCCACTGCCACTGAGTATCCAAGGCTGTTAGATAAATCAACTCAAAGTTTCTAGTTCCAGTATTTTCAAGGTCACTTCAATCTTCCTTCTTTCAAATTCAATTCCAGACTCTAGTTATCTATAGTATCACAGATGGGAACTTGTGTAAACAATCTGCCATGCTCATCCCACTATCTTTTCCAGTGGAAAACTCAGAGTCCTTGAGTATAACACAGATGCATAAACAAATAGAAGAAAAAGAAACAATATGTCCAAGCCTCTAGATGGCAGTGCTACTTGTTTTCCTTCACTTTCACTTGCCCCTCATGTATCCAATGCCAGGAACAAAAGGAAAAAATAAAATTCTTTCTTTTAAAAAGGAAATAAATCTCAGGTCAAAAAGAAAAGTCTTGGTCAAAACCGACTTTCAAAAAATTGTTTAGAAAATACAAACAAGAATAAAAATTTTTTAAAAGGTCCAGTCCAGTTTAAAATTAAGAAGCTTTGCCAAGTTCTAAGTTTCAATAAAAAGGGAGAAAAAAAACTTTCTCTATAACTAGCTTAATTTCACCGCTTAAACTCTTCACTTTTAATTCACTTTAAGTCTTTCAGGGTGTTCTCTTCAAGAAATAATAAGTAAAAGGGACTTCCGGTTTGGGCTTCTTCAGCAACGCACCGAAAACGCGATCATCCACGGTTTTGATCCGTGCTTGCCTCTGGAGCGCACCAAGCTGCCCAGATTTGGGGCTGAAGCCACTCTGTAGAGGTGGTGAAGAAGGGGGAGCCATCAGCGGGGTTGAGGAGAGCCACATCTCTCCTCCTTGGCTGGCCATTACTCCCTTTCCCAAAGGCGGTTGCAGCGGTGGTCAGATATGGCCACCTCAAAGAAGAACCCGACCGGACAAAATTGTGCAGGAGAAAGTTTAAAGGAGAAAGTTTGACTGACTGGGTTGAATGGAGAACATCTATTTAAGGTACCTGGAACCTGAATTTTAAAGACTAATACTATTCCTAAAAAAGATTTTAAGTTGCAAAAGAGAAAGGGAAAGGAAACGGAATTGGCTTTTTCTCCTCTAACATTGACAGTTTTAACTGACTTGGAACATTAAGAAGAGATTTGAATAAGAAATTGATACTAATCCACTTTGACATTAATAGGCTATTTCTAGCTGAAAATAACGTGTCAAAGGGATAAAGATTCTTGGATAATTTAAAAACTTTCTTTAAAAAAAGAAAGTAGCGGAGGGAAAAAGGAAAAAAGAGGGTAGAATCTGGAAAATGGAGGAGACCACCTGGAACTTAAAAAAATTGATAGTGGAATTTTAACAAGGCTTGAAAAAGATACATTGTAGTTGAAACTTCGTTACAAAATAACAAAGCCCCTGGAAAGAGAAAGTGGGAAAAGAAGCAAGAAACAGTTTTGGATTATTGGATGATTCCTGGAACTTTGGATGGAGGATCCTAATGAAATAAAATAAAATCAATTGGGGGTTGTTTAAATTTTTTTAAAATGGCATCACTCCTTGAAGAGTTAAAAATGAGACTTAAAGAACAAAAAGAAGAAGCACAAAACAGAAGAGGATCTTTTGGCTTCGTATTTCAATTTTTAGAAATGGAGATCTTGAACTATGAAAAACAAGAAACACTGGCAGAACAAGAAGGGTGGGACAGCGAAGAAGTCATCTTTAATGACCAAGCAATTTTAAGTGGGGTAAAAAAGGGAAAGGGGAGAAAGGGAGTTAAAAACCGAAGCACTGAAACAACAACCCCAAAAAAGAGTAATTTGAAAAGTAATTGTTAGTGTTTGGGGACAAACCCCCAAGCAGAGTGCACAGCAGCAGTCAAGCCAGGCAGCCAAATGAGAGAGAGGCTGGGCCCAAGAGTATACACACACTGGAGACAAAAACACTGTTTGTGGTTTTAAATAGTTATTTAATTCACACAGAGATTAAGAAGTGTCATTCAGTCCATTTGTCATTATCCTGTATATCCATCCAGTTACCTAGTCCATTAACAGTAAATACAATGTCTTTATCTGCTTGTAAATCTTCTCCTCCCGATACCTTTCTCTCAAAGACAACGCTGAGTATGCACAGCTCACCAAGTTAACAGTCCTTTTGTTCAGTAGACAC